TATAATTATTGGTAATCATAGTTATCAAAATCCATCTCATCTTCATAAAGGACAAAGCCATAAAAATAGAAATCCTCTTGTCCACAGTTCACACCAGAGCACCAAATGCATTAGATGCCATTAAATTGTAAGAGAGGTTGAATGTAAAGTTAACTTTATAGAATAGCACCACTACCTGCAAATGTAAAGTAACTTTATAGAATAGCACCACCACCTGCAAACCCACACCATCCAAGCCCTATTCAACCGATCCAAAATCACACCACAAATAATAAACGCAACCAAAATTTCGTTGAATCCATCATCCAGTATTTCCACCAATATAAGACCAAAACAAACGAGTAAGAATTCAAAACACCCATAAAACTAAAACTTGAAACCCACAAAAACTGAAGCCATTCAAAGTCACAATCCTAAACCAACTAAAATAGACAGCATATAAGAGTTTGATCATGACCTAGGGAAGAAGAAAACAGTTATATATGAAAACAAGGAAGACCAACTTTGTCCAGTCTGACCATACCTCTTAACTAAAGTAACAAACTATCACCATACCTCTTAACTTTACAAAATTGCACCTTTTCGCTACCATTGCTTAGCTTTACTGCAGTAAATTACTGCAATACTGAAAAAGTTTTCTTTTCTTTTCCTTTTTTTTTTTTGCAATGTGATTTCATTTTGATCATCTTTAGCTTTTATTATTATACTCGATGATAACCCAACACTGAATTGACTATCATGCATTAGTAGCTATGGAAGAATGGGTATCAGCACTATAGAATTAATCAATTTTCATGAATTTCTAACATAGATTTCAAAAAATTATAGTCAAATATCAATGAGTTCATAGCAAATAAAAAATGTGTGCTATAAGCACCAGCAATGTCACTTGATGTATCATGCACTTACACATGAAACCATGAAAATATGTAATTGGTGAGGATATATTCCACTAAATCAAGCAATTTTAAAAAAGAATATTCTAGCGGTAAATATGCATGACCAACTCATAAATAAAGTTATTAAAGTCTCTAAATGTATAGAAGATCTCCAAAATATAATACAATAACCTAAATACAGTTGCTATCAGGCAGCCATGAAACTAGAAATTGGAATTGAGAACCACTACTTTATTATTCATAATTGAAGAAGACAGTATCGCTAAAAACATTTTGGTTCATCATCACAATAAAATAAGCACATTTCACAGATGCTCCTTCCTATAATACTTTAAACTAGTAGAGTTAAGTGTAAATAAATGCTCATTTCACCAGTTTGTACCTTTCGACACTACAAGCCCATATTAAAATGTTCAGTTTTTTTTCAAATTGCCATATTCAGAGAAAGGGTCATGAATCCCCTGGCTGCCCAAATTGGCCATCCAAGGGGAGAATAGCATTGTCCAAGGCATAACAAGAATCCCACCACACCAACTGAAGCATTAACGAACATCTAAATATAAAATTTTATTAAAAAATCTAAAAGCACATAGCTGCAAGTTATTATATCCACTGGTTTCCTAGTAACATAGTTGCACAAAAACCATCCAAGCAGATCTACCTTTGAAAGACGAACCCAGTAAGCCACAATCCATTTCAGAGGTAAGACTTCAATGAAGATATTAATATAAGCTTTTCATCATGGTCCAGGAGACTAGGAGAGCAAAACCCCATATATCAATAAAGCATGAAAACCCTTCCAAAATAATTTAAGCAAATATAAGACCATGAACAAGACACAGAATAATCAACTTAGATTTAGTTAAGAGAAAAACAAAATCATCAAGATGAGTCGGAAACCGTGATTACTCCAACCAAATATTCCACCACCTAGCAAGCCTCTTTTCACCGAGAGTTTGGGAGAAATCCCTAACCCTAGGCCCCACACACCTTCGATTTCTCCGCAGCCACATCATTATTTCTTGCGTGATTTGAGCGCAGAGAGAAAGAGCGAGTTTGGGTGAAAACCCTAAGCCCCACACACCTTTGATTCCTTGGCCTTCTGCCTACACCCTTCGGCCAGGACTGAGAGAGTTTGGGTGAAAACCCTAGGCCCCAACCACCTCCAATTTCTCACGAAGGCACAAAATCATTTCTAGCGTGATTTGAGTGCAGCGAGAAAAAGGGTGAGTCGCTTTGTCTTGCGCCTAAACCCTTCGGCTTCAAGAAGAAAGGAATCAAAATGTGCCTTTGTTTGGTCTCTGCCAGCACTCTAAAAGTTTGCCTACTCTCGTGATTTGACCTAAATGCCCTTATAGCCGTTACTTCTAGAATTTTCAGATATGCTAAAAAAATAAAAACTATTTTCTTATTTTTCTTTTAAAAAACTATTTTTCTGTATATTTTAAAAAGTTAACTATTAATTAGATAAATAATAAACTAATATGAATTCATATTTTAGAATCTTAAATTAAAAATGAAAAATTAATTTAATTATCGAATTAAATGTTATATATGTAAATATATGATATAGTTTGGATTTATGCCAATCAACATAAATAAAAAAGGTATAAATTCACATAAATTACTTTAAATGAATTTATTTATAAACTATTTTATTAATGTCCTTTAATAAAAGATTCTTTTGATCTCGCTATAGAAATAATATATAAAGAAAAAGAGCTTATGTGGGAAATTTTAAAGATCTTATGAGGGAAATTTTAAAGATCAACCGGAGAGAGAAGCTCTGAGGATTTTCTAGAGAGAGAAAGCGTTCAGGTGTTTTTGAATTTCAGTAACCGTGGGAATTTCGCGGCTGAAGGAGGCGGCGCCAGTGCTTTGCCGGCGGCTCTTCGCCGTTGATTCATGAACGTCCAACGTTCATCTGGCTCTTTACGAGCTACTGGAAAAGCGTATAATGGGATCGTAATCAGGGAAGGGATGAAGCCTCATTGCCGTTCGATTGCAGTGGAAGGTAAGGGTAAGAATGTCTTGTTGAATGATTGTGTTGCTTCAAAGAATTTTGATGAAGAAAGAAATAAAGAGTTGTCTGTTCTTGAACCAACTGTTCCGGAGGATTTTATCTTACGAGTTAACAATTTCGCTAGAGTTCTTGATTTGAAGAAGGACCGGAATGTTCAGAAGAATGTTTCGTCGATGGAAGATCGGAATGTGGATAACAATGTGATGATGGATGCAGGTCATTTGAAGAATGCTGAGGTTCCCTTGATCATGAAGGAAAGTATGAGTGATTCAGTTATCCAGGGTAACAAGAATGAGATTGCTGAGGCTTGGTCGAAGCCAAAGCATATCAAGATATCTTTCAACAAGGACCAAGTAGAATTTTCTGATGATGGAATGGCAGTGAAGATGAACTCTGATAAGGTGGTGAAGAATGTTGAAATTCTGAAGAACTCAATTGTTATTAAAGTTTTGGGAAGTAATATTCCATTCTCAATTTGTAGTATTGAATTGAGAAAGCAGTGGAGTAAATATGGGGGATTTCATATGACCTCCATGGGCATGAACTGGATACTCTGTTCGTTCAAGACGAATGATGCGGTGGAAGAAATTTTGAATGGAGGACCTTGGTATGTTAATGGATTCATTGTTGGTATGGATAGATGGTGTCCTGAATTTGATCCTAATTCTTTCAAGGGTATATCAGCTCCTGTGTGGATCAGACTCCCGAACTTACCACTATACTGCTGGGATGAAGACAATTTGGCAAGGATTGCTTCTTGTATTGGAACACCTATGTATTTTGATGGTAATACATTTCGGTGGGGGAAATGTGAATTTGCTCGTATTTGTGTTAGAATTGAATTGGAAAAGAAGATATTAAATGGGGTGTGGGTTGAAGGCTTGGCTGGCAGATTTTTTCAACGTGTGGAATACGAGAAGATTGATCTTCTTTGCTATCACTACGGCATGAAGAAAAATCTTGTCCATAAAATGTATCAATTGGAATTCTGGATCAAAAGAATGGGAAGCCAGATGATGCTAATAAGGCTGATAAATCTGAAGTGATAGACGGGAAGAAATTCATTAATAATTCAGAATTTGGTCCATGGATACATGTGCAGTTCAAAGACAAAAGGAGGTTGAACAGCAACTTATTGTACAGCAAAGTCGTGGGGGAGAAGAAAAGTATGGAAAACAGAGCAAACAACAATTGGCTGAGGACTCAAAAAGCTAACAAAGAAAAGTTGGTGACTGAGGAGAATGTTGTGAATTCAGTTATTGAACCTGTTGCTGAATCAATGGCTGTTGAATGTGAGGGGATTAAACCAGCTGAAGTCCAGTCTATTAACAGATTTTCTGTTTTAGCTGATTGCAGTGAAGATGATAATAATGACAAGTATGTAGAAGATGTGAATTCAAAGAAAGATGGTTTGGAAGGAGACAAAAATGCACCTGTTCATTTGGAAGTGATTTCTCAAAGTGGATCTACCAAGATGAAGTTAGCCAAAGAATTGAAGTCTCTTGGGCTGGTGGAACCTGATTCTAAGAAGAAGAAAAGAGATGGAAGGGTGAGTTCCATTATTGGGGAGAAACCCCCATTAATTGTTTAAATGAATTCAATTTTATTTTGGAATTGTAGGGGAGCTAGAAAGAAAGAAGCCTCCCTATATTTGAAGGAAGTAGTTAGAGATCATAATGTTTTCTTTATTGGTCTTATGGAGACCAAGATTTCTAGTTTGGATAGAAGGGAGATTTATTGTTTTATTGGCAAGGACTGGGAATATTGGCATCATCCGGCTATTGGTACTTCTGGTGGGATTTTGGTGTTATGGAAGGTGACTTTGGTGTCTTTTATGGTTAAGGAATCTTCTTCTCAGGTTATTATTGGTGACCTTATGATTCCTAATATGGGAAGTTGGAGAGTTGCTATCGTGTATGGTAGTAGATGTTGTGTGGAGAGAAGCAACTTATGGAAGCAACTTGAAGATTGTATGGAGGATTCTATTCTCTATCATAGAAGGGGATTTTAATTGCATTTTAAGCCAGGAAGATAAGAGAGGAGGCAAGAGATTTCTTTTTTCTAAAAGTCCTGAAGAGATGAAAGGATTTATGATGAATTTGGATTTTCATGACATTGGCTATATTGGGCCAAGGTTTACTTGGTGTAACAACAAGGATGGGACCTCACGTATTTGGGAGAGATTGGACATATGTCTTTTGAACTCATCTTCCATTCAAAAGATCCCTCTAGCTGTTATTAAACACCTAGCAAGAATAGCTTCAGATCATAGTCCAATTGTTCTTAAATTGGATGCTGAAGCTCGTTTCAAGTCTAAAATTATCAGATTTGAAGATACTTGGAGATCTTATCCGGCATGTAAGGGTATTGTCAGCCATTCATGGAAGAAAAAAGATGTGGGAAATGAGAATGTAGTGCTTCAGAAGAAGACCAACCGAACTCTAAAAGCATTATTTTTTTGGAGTAGAAACAAATGCAAAGACTTGAATACTCTAAAGGAAAATCTAAAAAATGAGATTATTGATCTTCAAAGGAAGGAGGCTTTGGGGGAGAGTTGGACTGATGCAGACCTTAAATTGCTCCGTAATAAAGTACATGAGTTTAATGTTACTTTTAGAAGGTTATCTACTTGGTGGAACCAAAGAGCAAAAGCTAAATGGCATAAAGAAGGTGACATGAATTCTAAACTTTTCCACAATTTTGCAACGGCTCGTAGAAATGGGAATAAAATTAATCAAATCAAAGATGAGTCCAACAATGTAGTAGTAGATGAGGATCAAATCCAGAAAGTTTTTTGTGACTTTTTTTAGAAGAAATTGCAGCTTAAGGATTGTTGTTTAAAGGTATGGCCTTCGGTTTTACAGCAACAGAAGATTTTTTTTTAGGATAGCAGTATGCTTAATGAGGAGTTCTCGGTGAATGAGTTGAAATGCTCGATCTTCCAGCAAGGTAATAACAAATCTCCTGGCATAGATGGGGTTACTTCTTCTTTCTACAAAAGCTTCTGGAGTATTATTTGGGAAACATTATGGAAAGTTGTCAATAACTTTTTTAAAACTGGTATCATGTGTAAAGAATGGAAGGACACTTTTATTATCTTGATTTCTAAAGTCAAGAATCCTTTAGTTCCGGCCAATTTCAGACCTATTAGTCTTTGCCAATTGAATTACAAGATTATTGCCTCTATGCTTGTAAATAGATTGAAGAAAATTATTTTCAGATTGGTATCAGAAGAGCAGATGGCATTTATACCTGGAAGATCTATTTCTGAACATTGTCTTTTGGCTCAAGAAATGTTTCATAAGTTCAAGGTTTCCAAAAACAAAAAGGGTGCTATGGCTATTAAACTAGACATGGAGCAAGCGTATGATAGTATGGGGTGGTCTACTCTCCATCAAGTTCTCAAGTGGTATGGTTTTCCGTCTCACTTTTCTAATTTGCTCTTGGAATGTGTTACTGAAGTGAGGTTTTCTATTCTCATTAATGGTAATATGTCCAATTGGATTAATTCTTATGGTGGGTTTCGCCAAGGGTGCCCACTCTCACCTTACCTTTTTATTTTGTGTTCACAACTATTGACTAATGCAATCAATCAAAGAGGCCATTCTCTTGGTATTCAAATTTCGTCTGGAGGACCAAAGATTACACATCTTTTGTATGCAGACGATGTGTTAATCTTCTCCCATGCTTCTTCTACTTTGGCTAGATCAATGAAGATTATAGTGGAGGATTTTTGCAAATGGACTGGTCAAAGAGTGAATTTCAGCAAATCTCAAGTTATGTTCGGCAAAATGGTGAGAAAAAATTTAAGGAGAAGGATTACTAAAGTGTTGGGCATTAAGATGGTGAAGGAGATGATGTATCTAGGAGTGAAGATGTCTCTTAGAAGACCTAAGATAGCAGATTTTCAAGAGCTTATTAGTAATGTCATGGATAGACTTAATGCTTGGAGTAAGAAGTCTCTTTCTTTGGGAGGTAAACTCATCCTTATTGATAGCTCCTTACTTTCCATGCCAAATTACTTGATTACAAATTCTTTAGTTCCCAAAAGAGTGCTTCTTGAACTTTAAAAGTTATGTAGAATTTTTTTGTGGAATAAAAAAGATGGCTCTAAAGGAATGCATTATGTTGCATGGGAAGATATTTGTAAACCAAGGAGATTTGGTGGTTTGGGTTCGCACTCTCCTTTACTTAGAATTGGAGCTCTTAGATCCAATTTAGCCTGGAATTTTCTTCAGAAGCCTGATTCACTGTTGCATAGAACAATGAAACATAAATATGGGGCTGATATTATGCATGAATTTCACAAAAGCACTTGGTCAAGTGCTTGGTGCATATTGTTGGATGGGGGAAAGATTTTGAGGAATGT